GTCATTATGCTGTTAAACATTATGTAATGTTGCATCAAAATTTGAAGAAACCCCTATTTTGGGCACTGCTCCTATGATGACCATTTAAGGGAAATCATGTCACTTACTGTTCTCAAACTTACAGGAAAGAAACATGGGTCTAACATACAGCTTCAATAGGCAACGCAGTCTGTTTGGTAAATTTTTCTGGCAATTTAACAGTTTTTTGTGAAAATTTAATTTTTCACTTATTTGCATCTTTATTTTCTGTACTTTGTCTGTACATTTGACAGCTTTGCTGCCTTGTTTTTTATTATTTTGATAAAGTTAGTTACAGTATTGATAAACAAAGTATCATGTTTTCAATAATTAATATTTTTAATTACAATCCATGTCTGCAAGGTTGTGTCAATGACCAAAATACAACGTTGAGTCAACGTCACATTATGAAGGTGTTTTGACGTGGCTGGATCAACGTTGATTTTACGTTGAATTTAGGTAGATTAACGGTTATTCAACGTATCAACCTGTTTTCAACGTTGATCCAACGCGACTATGCCTGCTGGGAGATGTGCTCATGTTACATTTAGGAAATTAAATATCAGCACCACTTATTACAGTAACCTTTTTATTTTGTGAATCTATGTCTATGAACGGATTCTAGGACAATTTCCCCCCCCCCCGGACTATTCCCCCCCCCCCGGACAATTCCCCCCGGACGATTCCTACCTCTCCCTAGAGATGCACATTGATTCAAGACTTATTCAATCAAGGAGGGAGAAATAAAACAATTAAAAATAACAGTTAATTCATCAAAGGGCTACCTGGATGAGTGCGATAATCTGCTTACCCCTGCTTTACCTAGAGATATAATTTGATCAGATTTTAATAAATTGTTGTGTACTACTATCACGAAAATTTTATGTACTTGTACTCCATGAAAACAATTTGTTTAATAAAATTAATATTATCTATCCACGAGTTGCATCATTACACTAAGAAATATTCAGAAAATGGATGAAAAGATTTGAACTTTGAACTCTTTAATTTATATTTGTATATAAATATATATTACCTTTTATTTTATGAACGTTATATAAGACGACAGACAAATACATGTACACACTTTCTTGGAGGTATTACTTATTATTTTCATTTAGAAAGATGGGCACCCCCTGTATCATCTACTCATGTGACCGTCAGAAGAGGGAAACATGCATGCTAACAACAATGGAGACGCTTCTACACGACGCCAGGAAACTCTTTGGTTAGTACAGTCTTTTCCATTAGGTGTTCTTGTTGAACCTTTTTTAAACATACGACTTTCTGTTAAACAATAAACAATAAAATCAATCATGTAAATAGACGACGCATAAAAAGTGTGTGTGTGTGTGTAGGTGTGTGTGTGTGTGTGTGTGTGTGTGTGAGTGAGTGTGTGTCTGTGTGCTTGTGTGCGTGATCTTGAAAACCTGCATTACAATGAGCCAAAACTTTCCAGAAACCATTGAAGATTACAACATGTAGATTGCCTACACAGATGTACTTGCATTCTTTTTAATGTGTCGAAAGGATAGGGGAACGCTCCATTTAATTTTTGTATGTAATCTGCTTCTCCCTGTTAGATTTTGGACAAGATGACCAGCTCTCTGTTGTTCTGGAAAGGGAAGGAGCTAGGATAACCAAAGAAGACGTTCTTCATGGCATAGCTAAGAAAAGAGATGTTTTAGAGCTGATGATCCTGAATCTGACAAGACAAGAATCATGGGCTCCGGAAGAAGGTACAATAAAACAAAAGAACAAACGGTCTGAAACGTTAACATTTACTTTAAGTTATGATCTCTTTAATGAAGCTGTTTACTCCCAAGACAAAGCCTAAACATTGGCCAATCCAATTAGACTTGACCAAGTTTAATTTCACATGTCAAACTAAGTTAATGCTCTATTACAGTGCCAAGTAAACTGACTAGCCCACATATACAGACGATCAGCGTCAAACAAAGCCAAAACATCCAAATAGGAGACAGCAACAGGTTTCTTCAGGCAGATTATACAGGGGATGTAGAAGATGCACAGGTTGGCATGTCGGTGCAAGGTAAGAGCTGTCACATTCATGGAGAGATACAGGAATCCGCCCCCTCTCTTTCCAACAGTGGAGAAATGACACCCGCGTCGCACACACACACACACACACACACACACACACACACTACTCCTCAGGTGTATTCGATACACGTTATTTAATGCTTTATGTAGGAGAATGGATTTTCATTTTTGGATGACGTAAAAAACTTATGTCAATGCTACTCATCCAAATTCTGCTTCGTTTTATCTACAAGTGAAAGGAATTTCAACCAAAATTTCTATGTTCAAATATGTTTTCTTTTTTTGCTCATACTGCATTATGAATGTGATGTTGATATGTGAACATTGAATATTTAATATAAATATTTAAATATTGTATCACACACCATTTCAAACGTTAATAATATCAAGATGGTGATGATTTTATCAAGAAAAAAAGACAAATTAATTCATAAAATGCACGTAAATGTCAGTATCCTTATTATAGAAGACAAAAAAGCATGACATTAAACCGTTTGTGTCCCTTCATTTCAGCAGAACAAACGGAAGATATGTCAGTGACACATGATCCGTTACGTCGACTGTCTTCACTCATGTCACAGCCTAGGCTTTGGTACGAGCTCGATAGGACTGCCCGCCAGGTGGACAGAAACAAAGTCCTGGAGTATAGGGATGACAACGGATTTAATGTGCTACATGTCGCAGCGTTTCACAATAACGTAAATGCAGTTGTCACAATATTTCGACATTTTGATTTGTCGACACTTTCCACTCAGGTCACAAGTGGCACTCACCCTGGTGAGCTGGAGGGTTGTACTGCAAAAGAGATAGCTTTGAAGAGACACAACGAGAGAGTGGCAGACCGAATTGATTCATTAAAAAAAACTGATAGTGGAATGAATGTAATCCACAAGGTTGTAAGGAGTCAAAACATTGATAAGTTAAAAGAATTCTGCACTCGTGACCATAATTTGGTAAATATTACTGACTCAGATAATTTTACCCCGCTGCACTATGCCGCCGGTGTAGGATTCCTTGATGGCGTGAAGCTGCTTCTCGAAATGGGTGCAGACCTGAATGCTGTCACAGATGATGGTGAAACAGCCCTGGGTCGTGCCTGTAGGATGGGGTACGATGACGTGGTGGAGTACCTCACTGATCTACCGAATATAGACATCAAGAAAAGTGTGGTGTCAGATACGGGAGACTTAACGTGCCTCGATGCCGCAGCGATGGGTAACTACAAAGACATATACAACAGGCTGCAGCGCCATGGTTTACCTGTGACCAGCAATACCCTGGTGTGTGCTGCATGGGGCGGTCAAGTCGAGTTAGTGAAAGAAATAGCAACAATGGTCGGAATCGATGTCAATTATGAGAACAAGCACGGGAACATAGCTCTTTATGTAGCAGCTGGAAATGGTCATGTAGATGTGGTGAAGTGTTTGATAAATGAACATAATGCTGACCCAAATATTCAGAACAAGGACGGAAACACAGCTCTCTATGTAGCATCTGGAAATGGTCATGTAGATGTGGTTAAATGTTTGATAAATGAACATAATGCTGACCCAAATATTCAGAACAACGATGGAGACACGGCTTTACATATCGCAGTTCTCAACAATGACAACTTGGATGTTGTGGAATGTCTGTTAGATGAAGGCGGAGCAGATCCAACCATCCTAAATAACAAAGGCGAAAATCTAGCACACATGGCAGCAAAGAGTGGGCAAGTGCAATGTTTAAATGCCATTCTGAGAAGAAAGCGTACACTGATTGACTCACGAGGTCATCTCTACAAAGGGACTATCGTGTATAAGGTGTGGGGTAAGGATAGAGAAAGACCCGCGTGTCATTATGTTCTGGTCAAGAGGAAGCTTTTTGCTGACTTCTCGGTAAAACTAAATGTTACAATTTTAGATGTGGAAGATTACGGGAAAGTGCTGCACTCAGGATGGGGAAAAGAACCCCCCGATGACATTGTAAAGAAGATTCAAGAGACGTATGTAACATTTGCAGATTCCGCACACGAGGATCTAGCCCCGCTCCACCACGCAGTTCTAAAACAACACCCCGCTGTGGTGGAGAAACTTCTGGAGCTTGGGGCTGCCACAGACGTCCGCGATGCTTATAAACTGACGCCGCTGCATTTGGCCTGCATGCAAGGTAACAGAGAAATTGTGAAACTACTGGTGGAAGCTGAGGCGGACACCAAGGCGGCAGATGATGATGGCGACACCCCACTGGACGTGGCAAAACTCAACCACCAGGACCTCACTGTTGCTTTCTTGGAGAAGGCTGAGATAGTGAAATTCTTTAGAGTAGGTGTTCATTTTTTTTTTTTTTTTTTTTGCAATTTAATTATGAGATGATAAGTAGGGATGCCTGAACCCTTATTAATAATTTCTCAAAATTGAAATTACATCGTTTCTCTTCTAACAGGATACTATCCAAAAGCCATTCAAAGAAATGGAAGATGTACTGGTGCATGGACTTGACAATGACATTACAGTTAATGCCTTGAAGACCCAGCTTAAAGACTTAAGTATGCACATGCCTTCATTTCTTTATGTATTTTGATAGTCACCACAGCCATTTTTTAATTTAATGGTATATTAAGCTAGACATGATGTGATAACTTTACAACCAACTTCTTATTTATAATACAGACTTGACATTTAATATGGAATATTTTTTTCCAAATCACTTTTCATCAAATTTTTCCTATTTAACTGACTGATAAATGAAAATAGGGATTAAAATCGTGTTTTAATAACTTTAAATAATCTCTTCGATGACATTGTGACATCAGTTCATTAATTGAATTCGCCCTTGAAGCAAACAAAAATACATTGCCTGTTTTATGTCATACAATAACCATTAAAATCGGTATTTTGGATCTCCATATTTTACAAATTATTGTCTGTAAAAGAGTTACACGCCCCACAAAGGACCCTCATGTCAGTGTCTAATCACAGCAACGGTCGCTGTTACGTCTGACTTGGTCTAGCTGCTTCCAGGTCTCTCAAGCGGCAAGGCATTTCTTGGGATAGTTTTTTAGAGTTCAATCTGGAATAACATTCCAGGCATTGGTCAAAACCTGTCCAATTTGGTTCAGTTTTGTCGCACGACATGTAGGCCGTTGGTTCGGCTAGTAATGGCCTACCCACATATTGTCTATGTGGTTCAAATTTGGCAACATTGATGACCAAGGTTGCTGCTCATTCTGCTGGTTCTGTAAGTTATCTGCTAATAAAAGTGCTCTGTGTGAACCGGCACTTTCACCGTGCTACCTAAAATTGTTCCTAAGGCGCCCCCTATCAAATGATAGTCAAGTGGTTCCCAGATTATTCCTTTATTTGATCTGGTTCAGGTTTTCATAGATGACTACTATTGGTGTTTTGGCACCAATGTGGTATCCAGTCCAAATACTGACGCTGTCAATGACCCTAGTCACTTTATAGACTCGACACACTCTTCATCATAGGCCTCTTCTGGATGTCTGTAAACTCTGTTTTGACTAGTTGAGCGGTACAGGTGAAATCTGACCTCAGTAAAGAAAGCCACGCGATTTCAGTGTTCTACCCAGAAACGGTCTATGGTCCCCAGTTCATTAAAGAACCAGACGACGCTGTTTTGCCGTTTACAGTGGGTTCCCCGGAGGTCGTCTGGTATTCTAACCTGCTAAAACAAGTTTGTTGTTCGATAAGGGCCTTGAAAAACGCGTTTTGACAGCAATTTACCCCTCATTCTGAACGGACTGGGTGTTTTTTGTTTAGTTGCAGCACCATATCCCGAATGGCAGTGAGTACTGTACCCTGGTGGGAAGATTTTGATACATTGGGTGTGGCCTCTGTGTAGGTACATCAGTCTGGGCATTACTCTATAAAACTGTGCGGAATGTTCTGTTTGGCGCAATAATCTGTCTGGCAATGTCTGTCTTTTTAGCACCATTCTACCACAGATAAAAAATTTTATAAATCACCACTTAGTTTTTTTTACGCACTGCAAAACCGACCGCTTGCATGCAAAATTTCAAATTTTTTTATGCAATAGTTGCCGACATATAGATACTTTTTTGACAGAACCATGCTTTGGCACACCCAAGCATGAACCAGTCCAAAGGAGCACTACCCAATTAAATCATTGCATAATACACAATACAGCAGTGCAATAGGCATGGTTGTCAGTTCATTAGTAGCGACACACCTGACTACACACTTCTCCATTCACATACCTTATATGAGATCGGATTTTTTTTGAAAAAAGAATGCATTTTTACCAAGGCATACCTTCGAAACTAAAATATTCCATATTAAATGTCAAGTCTGTATATTTACTCATAAAACACGTACACATCTGAACTAAAGTCGACAAGGAAGTAAATCTGAACTTTAATTTGAAGTTTCGAAATTGGTCTTATGTATAATTTGCTAATAGATACATCTACACTTAATGCTTTTTTTTCATTCATTTTTTATAGAAAAGAAAATATAATCACTATTTCAGTTAAACAGTTGACGAAGGGAGGGTTTTCCTGCTTTGCAGAACTGGGTCTAACAGAAGAAGACTCTTCCACAGTAGGGCACATGCCGGTCAAATAAGGGAGTGCTTTGAAACGTCCGCTTCATGAAATGGCACCAGAGAGGCAACTTGTTGAAAAACGCGCACCTCAGAAATGAATCTTAATTACTAAAAATTTACAATGACTTTATTTTCGATATTTAGCCACTACCGATTGGTCAATTGGAAATATAACAGCATGATCTCAGATCATCAAACATAAAAGGCGATTTTATGAAAATAATATAATAGTATATTATCATCTGAAAAAAAAAAAGACCAGATGAGAACATTTGCTACTAATTAGCTGATCACCACCAGAGCTGCAAGAATGTGGTCAACGCACTGGTGACATGGTGAAATGGGCGTTTGTTTCTTTAAAATTAACGTGGCTGTTTGTGAGATGTGTGTTTTGCGCTACATTAACAAGTTATTAATAGCATGAGGCACCACTAATATGTGTTTTTTACAAATGCGTCATGTATAAAAATATTAACTGCTTGGAAGCTTTCGTAATTTGTATAAAATCGCTGACACTTTAGCTTTGTGATAAATAATGGACAATAAGCTCAAAGCAAAAATAATGAAATTTTACTTTTCATGCTGGAAAATACGTATATAAAATGATATGAATGAAAACATCCGTTTGTAATATTTGTTGGCAACATACATGTATTTGTTTGTAGGAGTTAGATTTGTAACATCAAGGAAAAATATATCCGCTAAAAAACGAAAAATTTAATATATGTGTGTCTTGCACTGGTTAGCTCCATTTACAATGACGGGAAGTACATGTAGTTTGAAGATACACATGAGGAAACGCACAGCAGATGGAAGACCTTTGTGTAATTCTCTCTCTCTCTCTCTTTTGCTGGAACCTATGAAACATCTTGTTGTTTTTTGATATCCTAGTTGATGTAGTAGATGTTATTGACAGATAAAGTTTGAGAGTAATTGAATTGTTTTTCAAATTGACTATATAGAAGGGTACGTTAAATTTAGTGGCAATATTGCCTAAAATATTTCAAACTTAATCGCAAAGGGGTCTCTATGCTAAAATATATGAAAGCAGATAAGCTAAGTAATAGATTTTTCATATGCAGAAGCACACTATGTGCCTAAGGCATCCATGCAGTCAGGCAGCCTAAAGAGTCACCTAGCCACCCATATTAACCAGAAGAATCACCTGTGTGACTGCTGTGGGAAAGCCTTCGCACAGAAAACACACCTGCAAGCGCCATAAAAATATCCGCAATTACAAGTGTGAGGAGTGTCCTATGACGTTTGTTAATAAAGGTAACTTAAAGGTGCTTTTTAGGGAAGATATTTAATTTTCTTAATATGGTACATTGTATTGTTCTGATTTATTGTATTGTTAGTGATGGTGGCTACACCCTAAACTTCATATTTAAGGATTGTACGAAGAGAAACACTGTTACGATTATTGTTATTTTTAAAGTATGGAATTTGATGTTAATTTTTATGGGCATGTTACAGCTTCATGGACTTTTTCCTTGTTGTAGGTGACTTAAATAGACACCAGAAAAAACATACAGGGGAAAGGCCTTTCTTGTGTACATTTTGTCCAAAGACTTTCACTCGCCTTTATTATCTCAAAGAGCACATGCACATTCACACTGGAGAGAAGCCGTTTGGCTGTAAAATATGTGGCGCCAAGTTTTCTGACAGGTCGTCTGCTCTGAAACACGAGAAAAAGCATGACCACAGAGAACGTCAACCGAGTGAGTCTAATATTTATTTTGTGGTTTTGTTATAACATAAAATATTGAAGGAAATTTAAAATACAATGTGTGTTACAGATTTTCTTTGTTAGTAACATACTATTATTGAAGTGAAGTCACTGTTTCATGTATGTCCTTTATTTTTCAGGTCTCCGCTGCCTTTTGCTGTCTCAGTTCCCAACAGGGGGCACTTTAGGTCAGGCCCAAGACAGTCCACATCCATCCGTGACTTTTGTTATAAAGGATGAAATGGGTAAATGAAGTATTTTAGATACAGAAGCAACTAATTCAGAGGACACTTAAAAAAGTGACAGATAAAAAAGAATATTTAAGATTGCAGTCTATTTTTTGTTTCTCAATGTTCATATGGACTGTTGCATATTTAGTTTCAGAATCAATCTCAATGTAATTCATTTTTTAAGTGAATGAAAAAAAACACTGGTTTGTTAACAAATATTTAAATCCTCAGTCAGTTTTCAGGGTCTGTGTTCTGTTAATCACAAAAAAAGTTAATTTCCCCATTTTTAAAGAGATGTGATAAATAACATTATTCTACATTTCAGCATCCTCGACCAATCAGCAACAGTTCATCTCCATGCTTCAAAGACAGAATCCAGTTGATGTTATACAAACAGTGACTACATCTGCCACACCACACACAGAGGAATATGTGCACAACATGGCACAGTCTGTTGATACCATTGGCCACACAGGGGCGCTGATGTCTGCCATGACAGGACCAGACCCAGGTCACGAGATTCCTGAACCGGCCACCATGGTGACATTGTCCTCTGAGGATTTGTACACTAACTGAACTATGGATTGTTTTTACCCTGTTGTAGGTGACTTAAATAAACATCAGAAAAAACACACAAGGGAAAGTCCATTCTTTTGCACATTTTGTCCAAAGACTTTTACTCGCCTTTATTATCTCAAAGAGCACATGCACATTCACACCGGAGAGAAGCCGTTTGGCTGTAAAATATGTGGCGCCAAGTTTTCTGACAGGTCGTCTGCTCTGAAACATGAGAAGAAGCATGCCCACAGATTGTACACTAATTGAGCAGTGTATTTTGTTTCTGTTGATCAGTATTATATTTAGACTTAGACACGAAAAAAGTATTGGCAGAGAGTGTCACTGCTTATCTTTCTTAATGACAGTGTAATGGGATCAATGTTTGTCTTACTGGACGTTGTATAATATAGATTCTGAATCAGAAGAAACATCTGTGCAATACATGTTCTCATTGTTATAGTACCATAATTATTTCATAGCATATTTTTAAGTGACAAATTATATTAATTATGTCAAGTAGGTAGTTGCTATTCTTTTATACAGAATACTAGGGAGTGCATCGTTGGCCTATTATTTGACATTATTTGTGCACCTATTATTCTTCTTCTTTACTAAATTAATGGAGAAAACTTTTCATTTAAGAGAAGAGATTCTCATGATTAAATTATTCATTGTGCTTGGACAAATAAAATGTGAAGGCTGTTACAGTAACTTTTTTCTCAATAAACATAATAAAACGTGGGAAACAAAATTTTTGGTGAAAATAATCGACTGATGTTCAAGTTGTTTGAATAACTACCGTATAAGATAAACGTTTATAACGACTAGAAGGAAATGGCAAACTTCCAATTAATATTGGAACAAAACTAGTCTAGATATATTTATTTGAATCTAAAATCCGACCTTGTTTTTAGTAGACTTTACGATGTAACGTGAATTATTAATGATAAAAAATCGAACGCGAAAGAAAAGAGAAAAGTGATTAAAACATGAACATTTATTGAAACAAACAATGTAGCAATTAAAAATGTCGCCTCGTCACTCACAAAAAATTTGTTCGTTAAAATTTTATAAATAATTAGTCTTTAGTTTCCTTCTAAAAGTCGCCGGGGTCTTTCCTACGCAGTACATGTATAAATGGGAGTAAACTCCGTTCCCTTGGTCCAGCGATTTTGAAATAGGTGCTTAGTAATCATTATTTATCATCAGTCGGTCCTCATGTAGTTAATATTGTCTGGAACTTTGTTTGTTTTATCAAACCACTGCCAAGTCACGTTGCAAGTTGACACAGTTTGTCAACGCTATGACCACTCGTTTAACAAAGTCACCGCAGTGCCAGGCCTGTGGGCATGTAGCAATATGAAAATCATTTCGAAGAAAAGTGAGAAATTGACCTCCACAGAAAGTACATGAAACCTATATCAAATTTGTTTTCCATGTTGGCCTTTTCTGGCTAAAAAGGTGGTTCGCTCAAACGCCCCGCCCCCCCCCCCACCCCCACCCCTCCAATGCATACGGACCTGTAGTGTTTTACGCATCCAGCACGTTTGGTATTGTGCACTTTGCCCTACTGCTGTATCCTTCACTGTATACTTTGTCCGCCTTTATCTATGTCATTAAAATTATCAATACTTGAATTGTTGCAAGTCACTGAATTGCGAGATAAAGATTGACCTGTATTTAATGATTGACAAACTTAGACTGGTTATATTAATTTTTAAAAAATGTTTCGGGATTATGAACCGGCAGACTTGTCTAAATAAACCCGTTTAACAATTTCACAACAGAAAGAATATTACATCTCCTTCATATTATACATATATCCGTCTTCCAACTGTAGATTTATATAGGAAAATGGCACGTACAATGTACTACAACTTTTTATCATCTGGTGTGTGCCTGAAATGGCCTGCCAAATAACTTATCTGTTTACTTGTATAAATATATCGATGACGCGGACCCAGTCCCATGATCACTTGAGAACGCCATGTTGACTTGAAATAGACGTTAAGAAGATTTTGAAAAATATTTGAGAAGTAAGTATTTTAGTTTCTTAGAAATTGAAATGGGTTTATTTTAGCTAATTGCAGTCCTCTCAGTGGGATCCCCTGTGAATTACACGTGTTTTACAAGGACGGAATTCCAAATATTTCATCATTACCTGCTGGTAGAAGGTTTATATTGGGTCAATAGTTTGGTTGTTGGGTGATAATAAGATTATCAAGGGGAAAATATTTTCTGAAGTTGAGTTGTTTACCTAAGTTCACTAGTATTCAAAACGACATAATTCTTGAAGACGCAATCTTTTTAACTTGCTAGATGTCATGCCACAAGGTTAAAAAAATAAAAACGCTGTTGTAAATATTACTGTCTAAGCTTCAAATTCAACAAAAACACCAACAAGTGTTGAATCTTAAAAGCAGTCTTTGTAGTTGTATTATAAATGATTGCCATTAGCATGCCCTACTTGTATGGCGTTTATTTTATAATTTTATAATTTTAGTAGAACGTAAATACACCGCAAATCAAAATGGCGGATCCAGACCCGCCCCTTATACATAAAAAGGAAATAGGCTTTACTGAAGTAAGGCTTACAGAAAATGCACCAAGCTCATAATAGATTTTTCATCCCCACTTTCATACCCCTCTCCTTATAGCAAATGCGTACATGGTGCGCCTGGAATACGCAAACCAAAGCATGATTTATACACGTTGCATCAGGTACAGAGTACGTGTAGGCCCCTAACTTGTTGTAGTTTTCTGATATAGACTTCATGATAGTCTAACAATTAAGAAGACAGACGCTTAAGCCGGCTAAGCTGACAGTAATCTAGTGAGACTCCCCACAGGGATAGATCAATCTAAATTCTATGGAAATGGGGTCTAACTTTACACAGTCTATATAAAGAGTTGTAAGTGAGGGAGACACACTCTGTGACCCCATTCCCAGAGATTAGATCGATCCAACTAGATCGACCTAACTCCCTGGGGGTTCACGCTAAATAGCCTTCAGCCGAGCGGGCACGAAAGTTAATTACCCCCTTACAGCTTGTAGTAAGCGGGATGGACATTTAAGCCGGATTATCTGACAGTAATCTAGTGAGACTCCCCAGGGGATAGATCGATCTAAAATCTATGGGAATGCGCCCTATGTCAATACGTATAGCTTACAATAAATGAAATAATTTCAATGCATTTATTATGTGTACATTTTTATATTCCTCAGACAGCTTATTTGCTAAGGTATAATAGAACAATCGTTAATAATAGAGATATTCAATGACCAGTGCAGACATATTCTGTAAAAAATAACGCGTTTAACTTGAAATCGTATTTTTGATATCTGCCCTTCTTCTTGGCAGTTTTATTCAGAGATCTGAACATTGCTACGCGTTCAAATATCCTATACGACCAAGCTAGGGATGCCTGTGAAATTGGAAACCCATTCATTATTCCCTGTAAATATACAGTTCGTTATCTACCGTGCCGTCACCACTGATATCACAGCTGTAATACTGCACCGTGGTCTCTTTGTTGTCGATATCAAGACTGGAGGCGTAGATATCATTTTGCACCATATTTACAAAATCACACGTGTCCTCTTCCGTTGGTTTTTGTAAATTTATGCCGCCTTCAAACCATGGGTGTTCAAGTAGCCGTTATCGTCTTTGTTTGAAATCTCGTGTGTACAGTGCAGGTCATCAATGGGCTTTCCAAAAGTGTTTTATTTTGGTAGTGAACCGGATCACCATCTTATCTGGATCCAAGTATGATTTAAAGGATACTACAGCAAATGCGATATAGGTCTAATGACTTTAAGCAATGGAGGTGCTCTCAATTACCACAATCTATTAGTACAGGATCCTTGGCGGAGGTCTGCACTCTGAGAATGCCTTTCAAGGATAATTTGGCATTAATATAATCCGATATGTCCATATCTAAGTATTTTTGGGTGTTTTATGGTATGGGCTGCAATTACAACGATGTTTTAGAGGTCTTGAAGGACCTTGTGAAAACCAGGAAGTAGTTCGTAACTAACAAGTGGAATGTACCGATCTCCGACTGCTGTGCACAGCTGTATCTTTTTTTCAATATATTGACGAATCAGCATTTATTTCTAATTAGTGCCCATTTGCACATTCTTAGATGTAGTTGTTCAAAAGGAAATTTATTTAGTTTTGTAAGTGACATTTGTTTTTCCTTGAATACTTCTTCAGACCAAACTTCACACCCATATAGTAAGATCTTCTCTTATAATTGTTAACTTTATGATCTCACGACTAAATACTGTAGCACACCAGATGGGGTGATAGGCTGTCACATTTATCACAACCTCAAATGAGGGTAATTGGGCTGGTTTAGGTCGTCTATTTTATAGTTTTGTACATGTAGAAGGTCACTGGTCCTCAAAACAAAATGGTTGATCATGAATTAGTCACACTTTTCTAAAACAGTAGAAAGATGGTGCCCTGAATTTTTCTCATCTGTCTCATGTTAGAATACACTAAAATTCCCTTCAGCAAATGCGTAAATCGTTCATCTTGACTACAAAAAAGAAAAAAAAGAAAAAAAAAATGCACGATTAATACACATATTTGACGGGAGTGATTAATGAAAGTTCTGGGCCCTCTGTTCCTCAAAACCCCTGGTTTCTGAATCTGAGGGTTCACATCGAAAAACAGGATCCCTGTAGAATTAGTTTATAATTTAAAACCATAATTAAAAATCACACATAGTATGGGAAGTTGGAAAATCGAAATTAAAAAGATTTTATAAATTTTAATTTAAAACAGATTTAAAAGGCCAGAAGTAAGTAAGTGCTGTGAAATTAAAACTATACAATAACAAATATTAAGTAAATAAATGACCATGACACTGACTGTTAGTGTGTGGGTTTGTAAGTTGCTGGTATAAGATATCACAATTGATGTTTGAACCGCGGTGAGACTCTTCAATACGAAACATTTGCTTTGGAATTGAAAGGACAAGGACTGGGCGTTTGAAAATGTGCTGTACCTCGGATACTCAGATGTATAATCCCCACGATTCAAAAGCGTTATATGACCCCCACTGTTTAAGAATAGTGCCTCGCTGGACTGTTAGTTTTAAAAATGAGGATCCGGCGGACCCTGAAATGGCGGGACTCCCCGTCAGCTCATTTCAGAACATGGGAAACGCATGCAGTGAATACATCTAAAAAAACGTTTTACAAATAAATTAACTTTGTAACTCAAGATAAATTATGTGAAATATATCTTGAACGGTTAATCCAAATATTAAAATAATGCAGAGAATAAACTTCTTTTTAAGGAAAATAGCCGCTAAAAGCTCGCTTTCTCCACTCACGTGTAAACAGCCTGTTACACGTTCAAAACGCAGATCTTACTTGAGGCAATATATGTGTAAGTCGTGTCATAGTAGGCCACAACTTGCTACGTCACATGTAAACGTTCAATGATGGCAGCGTACTTGTGTGTAAGATTTATCAATAAGACCTCACGTCACACGTCTCCACAACTCAATTTCGGAATATGGGAACACGGACAAATAATACACATCGAGATATGAAAGGAATACGCCCTCAATGGCAAAGAACTACATTTACGTAGTGCCATATCCCTGCCCAAAAAATGATGAGATAAATTATACCATTAATTTTATTATTTGGGGGTCAAACTTGCACTCAGGGCATCAAAGTACTGACAGTTACTTCGCCATTGAGCAACACGATAGGCTAATGCCCAGACGATCGACTCTACTGGAACCCAAGGCGCAACTCTGTGATATATATTACATTCCGGTAACAATTGAATGTCTCCGTGTCTCACTTGTTGGTTTCTCATTCCTTTCTGTGACAGATGGAGAAACGTGTTGCTTTTAATTCGTGTACATAATATGGCGCAACATGTTGCACATTTAATAAATATTATTAATTTGCAGGTTTAAAAAAATACGCCCTCTAGAGACATAGAAATAAAGTTATGCTATGCCATTGCTGTTAAGGCCAGCATTTTAGCTTATCTAGGCTTATATTAAAACATGCTCTGAGAAATGTTCGACATTTAGGATGTACATGATATATTTTACGTCGGTTTTAAATAAACAAATACATATACAAAAAATAAGGAGTTAAGTTTCTTAGCCATATTTTACTTTAACGACGATTTCTTTTCGTACATAATGAGTCATATTGCTTGCAAATATTGTTAATTTTTATTGGATCAAATATTAAGGCTGTGGCTAGTTCAGTTTAGCATGTAAACACAATCGGATGAAAATAATACCTTTTCTGGAAAATGCAAAATTATACTGTACATTTGGAAGTATTTGTATGTAACAATTTCAACAAACCGATACTTCAGCCGCCAACAAGGTACTTTATGTAAAGATCTATAGATGAGAGATACATGCTCGATGTACATTATGTACAACGTACATTAAATTAAATACATCCCATGCAAATTTACAAAGGTGCGAGTGTTAACAAATCACATTGGTATATGTACGTCAAATAATAATGATAAATAACACTCTCCAAATTCCCATTAAAGTGCATTGTCATCAACTACAATTGTGGCAAGGCTATCAAAGTACAATTTCAAAAAAATGTTCTTTTTTATTTTCAGACAAGTATTTTGATATAGATTAAATTTAATCAAAGAGATGGGCAGAGTCTGTATCATCTACTCATTTGATCGACAGAAGAGGGAAATGCGTATGTTAACAACAATGGAGGCGCTAATTAATGACGCTAGAGAGCTGTTCGGTATGTACAGATGTTTGCATAAAGGGGATTTCTGGTTGGATTTTTAAGATATACAAATTACTTTTGAATTACAAAATAATCAAGAAAATTAATCATATCAGAAGACTTCGGTTCGGAGCCTAAATACAGACTAAATACACAAAAAGTTTGTGTTTGTGTGTGCGCATGTTGTAACCCTGAATATGTTAGAAATCATGCAATTAAGTGAGCCAAGTAACAATTAAGTGCGTGAGCTGTATGAAGGCTTCATTAGTACACTACCTACATGTATCATAAATATGGAATGACTAACGGATGCTAATATGTCAACAAATTCGATGGGTTTTCTATTTGATTCCAATATGTAATCTGTCTCTGTTAGGTTATGGAGAAGATGAAAATCTTTCCGTTTTTTTGGAAAGCAAAGGAGCTAGGGTATCTACAGAAGAAATTTTTCGTGCCATAACGGAAGAAACCACTGGTACAATAGAGCTTATGATTTTAAGCCAAACCCGGGGAGAATGTTGGAGTCCGGTGAAAGGTACATAAAAACATATTCGCTGTCGAGTGTGAATGTTTATTTTAAGTTGTAATATTAGTCCGTTGCGTGGCACCTCCATAAAGCATCCTAAACATTAAATTGGTACGTTACCTGTTAGCCGACAGGTTTTTGATTGGTTTACTGAAAGGTTATTGGTTGTTCCAGTACCAAGTACACTAACAAGTCCAAGCACACAGACGATCAGTATCAACCAAAGTCAAAACTTCCAAATAGGAGACACAGGGGCGTAACCAGACCTTTAAAAATTGTACGCACAGATTTTTAAAATTCCCAGCACGTAAAGCAAAATGTAGACTAACGCAACAGATGAAGGACAGTGTAATCACGGCATGTGTACCACACATCGCAGCTTAATTTCCATTAATAATAAAATTATCATTTAACTCAAAAATATTATCGCGATTTAATGAAGTTTCAATGTTCTAATTCACCCAGAACGGTATATTTATTTAAAAGGAGGCTAACTGAAACATCAACTTTGGGCACTGAACGAACTGCAGGTTATGCTGCATTGTCTGCTTGTATCGAGCTGAATTCTGAATCATGTTGTGGCACTGTTGTTTGGAATGCCTAACTATCAAATTGGAAAAAAGCAGTCTATTCAGAATTCAGCATCTCGTTCCCTTCGCAAATTCAAAAGTCCCACCATAGGTGTACACCAGTTCTCCACGATCTTCATTGGTTACCCACATGCAGCCTCAAAGAATAGTCTATAAGATGAAATTCTTGACTTTACATGAACGATATATATATATATATGATAGAACTCCTTTGAAAACTCTTCTTTCCAGCGGTCAATTTTAACTGAAATGAAACGATACCAAAAAAGACTAAAAACATTTTGATACAGGAGTTTTGAGATTGCTGCACTTCTTTTGTGGTCCAATTTTATTAACATATCAAATGTGTCTTAACTCTTATCACTGTTTTGAAAAGAATTTAAATAACATTTTAATTAACTTTAATCTTTTAATATTAAATACCTTTATGTTAGTTTTTAATTTATCTTTGTGGTTTTAGTTTTTATTTGGTAGTGTAAGTAACACTGAGATGCACATGTAGCACGTTTTTAAAATGTATTATTATTATTATTATTATTA